CTTACTGTAATTTTTGTACTTTATAAACTTTTAAATTTTTTTACCTTTTTGACTCTTTTGTAATGACACAGCTTCAAACATAAATACATTGTACAGTTGTACAAAATATTTTCTCTCTTTATATCCTTATTCTATAAGCTTTTCAGTTTTAAAATTTTTTGTTTTTTTACTTTTTAAACTTTGTTAAAAAGGAGACCCAGACACACAGATTAGCCTAGGCCTATACAGGGTCAGGAGCATAAATATCACTGTCTTCTACCTCCACATCTTGTTCCACTGGAGGGTCCTCAGGGATAATACCTGCATGGAGCTGTCATCTCCTGTGATCACAGTGCCTTCTTCTAAAATACCTTCTGAAGGACCTGCCAGAGGCTGTTTTACAATTAACTATTTTTTTTTTATAATTAGAAGGAGTGTACTCCAAAATAATGATAAAAAGTATAGTATAGTAAATACATAACCCAGTATAGTGGTTTATGATCATTGTCAAGTATTATTTACTCTACATAATTGTATTGCTGTCCTTTTATATGACTGGCAGCACAGTAGGTTTTACACCAGCATCACCACAAACAGGTGAGCAATGTGTTATGCTACGGTGTTACGAGGACTACGACATCACCAAGGAGATGCAAATTTTTGAGCTCTATTATAATTTTATGGGACCTCTGTGCCCGCCGTATATGTGCCTTGGCCTTCACCAAAACATCGTGATTCAGCGCATGACTGTATTACTAGCTAAAGTGTGAAATACAATTTTATCTTCACCAGCTGAAATACTGAGTCATTGTTGGTGTGCATAAGTAATTGCATTCTTTGAACCACAGTGGTTTAACAATAATTATTTCAGTTGCTTTCTGGCATTTAGAAATTAACTATCCCTTATTTTTATTCCACATTTCAATGAACTTGGATAAGTAAGACCTGTTGCCCTTATGCGCAGTGTGTGGGTCTAATCTGAGCCTGGGATCCATGTTTAACATATAGACAGTAAAAGGAAAATTATAGGAGAAAGATTGAGATTGTTTTCAAATAAAATGATCAACTGAATATAATGAGCGAATTTATTTTAATTAAGGACTTGCCTTTTTATTTTTTCCTGCTTTGGGCAGCCAACAACCAATAGAAGACAAATATTCAGACCTCCGATATGACCCAAACTGGAAGAATAAGAAAGAGGAAGGGCAGCTGCTGACAGCAGAGACATTGCCAGGGTCTGCGGACAGCTCTTCAGAAAATCTGCCTTCGGGTCCACTCTACCCTTCCAAGGATCCATCAGTGGAACTCTCAAAGGATAGAGACAGACGGAGTGTAGCCTCCTTCCTTGGAAGTGAATTTTTAAGCCCAAACTATGAGCAGGGCACCCGTCGCAGCGAGCCCTTTTCCGACCTGAGTGACGGTGACCCAGAGGAGAAGTCAAGCAGCAATCTCTCTCAGTACGTGAAGAGTTCAAGTTCACATAACGAGGTTTTCCTGCCAGGATCACGTGGCCCTCGGCGAAGGAAGTCCAAACAATATTTTGTGGAAAAAAACAAGCTGACTTTGGGAATACCGAGCCCTAAAACAGACTCTTACGTTCGACTTCACAATAAAAAAATGGGGGAGATTCACCTAGAACAGGTACGTAGTGGCTACTTAAAAATCTATTCTGAAACCCTGAACTAGAATTCGCATTTGTTTGAAATGGCCAGATATTGCTTCCTTTGGGGAGATGGTATCGTTGTAATCACAACCACCTGGCAGGGGAAAACGAACCCTTCCATAGTATACCCTGTGTTGCCCATTCTTGTAGAATGAGGGGAATTATTCCACAAATTCTTAAGAGCAAAATAAAAGGCATCAGTGGTTTACAGTGCTGTAATTCAATTATTATATCCAAAATTCTCCGTTCAAGGAACCATAGAATTTTTTAAAAGTGTGTATTCCAGAAGGTAAAATACAGGACTGAGCATTCGATTCCCTGTGTTGATTGCCTTTGTTTCCACCGTAGCATTGGTTTTCAACCCTTTTGAATGCCCCAACACGTTGGGGGTAACAGGACACACTCATGTCAGTAACCAGAGGTGATTCTCAACTCAGATTCTGTATACATATTGGGTGGCGGTGGGAGGAGAGCAGGGTACAACATAGGATATTGTTTTTTATTCTTCAGATGCTTCTATTACCCTTTTCAACCCCCATCGATAATCACTACACCATCCTTAACTGTCCTATGCAAATGTTATATGATTAAAGCTTAGTCTCTTCATCTATAAAATTGGAAAAATAACAAATGCCCCCTTTTCCTCATCTGATCATTTTGAGGATAAATTCTACCCCAAATGATGGATGCAAAACCTTTTGGAGCCAGTAAACTTAGTTCTATTTCATGGGTGCACATAAAGATCGTATTAGCCCACCTCCTAGTGGATGTGGATGGACACAAGAAAAGTATGTGTCTGGATCAT